GTTAAGATTAATACCCTTTAATAGAAGGACAATTCATTTGTGAGAGTAAGCTTTGTCCTTTCAACCGGTAGGATTTAAACATATGTGAATRCCATCTAGAAGGACAATTTATTTTGTGAGAGTGCGATGTGTCGGTAATGATTTAGATATGGGTTCCCTAGGATGCATTGTGGTCTATATTTCTCAGTGTTTTTTACTGAAGCTAGACCACAATGCACCATGCTCGCTATCTCCAAAAAGGTCCAGATTCAAAATGGCGGACGAAGTGTCCACATATCGTGAACAGGACAAATTGCTTCGTGCTGGTGTCCGTGAAAACCTTGGTTCATGGCTCAAAAAACTGAATTGTGAAGGAGATGTGGAGAAAAAGCTCGACTATAAAATGGCTTTTGTAAGGAAGCTTCGGTCTGCGCCAGTTGCTATTGAAGTYGATCGAGCCAATGAACAGCACTATGAGGTTCCTACAGAGTTCTTTAAGACGGTATGTCACTATAAATAATAATAATTTTAATAAATAAATATTTTTGTTATGATCTCGTCTCTCTGAGACAGTGAAGTACATAGGGCAAAATGTTTTAGCTGCACAGAAAGAAAATTGATTTTTGAAATTATTATCCAGGTCTTGGGGAAAAGACTCAAGTATAGCTCATGTCTGTATACAAAGGAAATAACTACGCTGGATCAAGGTACATTCATAAAGGGTTTTGTATCCAGGTATTGGTGAGAAATTGGGCTCCCTAATAGCTTCCTTGTTGGCGATTCCAGGGCCGTACGTAACCAGAACTTTTACAGGGAGGGTGCACATCGAATAAAATCGAGCCATTGATCGGTTTTTATTACCAACTCAGTGGCGTTACTGGGGATTTTGCAGGGAGGTTGCACAGGCAATAATTTGCAGAACCAAAAAGAAAAAAAAAGGTAACCAAAAGAAAGCAGAACCAAAAAAAAAAACAAGGAAAAAAAAGGAGATGGATGAGCAGACCTTAAGCTTTTATGGGGGGGTGCACGTGCACCCTGTGCTCCCCCCCTGGTTACAGCCCTGGATTCTTTGCAGARAAAATCTCTCTCAGTGGGGATTCTTGGCAGAGACTCTGCTAGCAGTTAAATGGGGTCACCTAAAGTTGTTACCATTTGTGCCCCCTACACCACTCCCCCTCCACCATACCAAGGACAGAGGACAGTTTCCTAGATCTCATATCGATAGACCGTTTTCTCTTATGAATTTTTATCAAAAAATCAGGTAGAAATGTATGATAATTCTCATTATAAAGCTCCTGTTCTTCGGTGTTCTTGTATTGTGGCACGTCATGTTTCTTAAATTTGGATGAGCAAGCAACCTTGAGAAAAAGATCTAATATAGGCATGGTCCTTGAGAATATAATCTTTTGATCTAGTTATAATAATTATAAATCCCACATTTCTTTCAGCTGAGGATGCTATGCTAGACTTAGTGTGCCGAARAGCGAAGGTAGAAGATGGACAGTCTATAATGGTAGGTTTTTCAAAGTATGACTGAGTTGCCTTTCAGTCTTCTYCAAAATGTATTTGTATTGGAGATGTATTCATGTAATTGCATCTTACAAATGTGTCCTCCAACAAAGGAAATATAAGGAATCCACTGTTAATTYCATTATAGATGGGGTRTTAAACCGTGTGGGATGGGCTCGGAAATCATATAAGAACATGCGTAATAGGTAAATTACAAGCCTTATATGAAACGACMGAAGAAGAGTACCAATGGGCATTTCGCAACTTCAAGTCAGGTAAAAATGATTAAATTTTTTTTACCTGACATGAAGTTGTGAAAGGCCCAGTTATTTCATATAAGGCTTGTAATTTACCTATTACGCATGTTCTTGTTCATTCTATTATTATTATAATTATCATCATCATCATCATCATCATTATTATGTAGTACTCAAAGGAAAAATATGGTCTGAAATGTCAAAGCATGACATATCTGGGTAATCAATAATTATTAATTAATTAATGATAATGGTCAAATACGTCTGGACAAAACTGGTACTTGTCTAGTCAAATGCCTCTTAGGCCAGTTGAATACAGCCAGTCCCATGTTGATACTTCAGTGTGGCCATTATGTCCAGCCATTAAGCAGCAATTATTAGCCATTATTAGCCATTATTAGAATGTCATGGGTATAAGAATGGAGGCAGGGGATGGCAGAGGGGTGGGGCTCCTTATCAGAGTTTTAACTATTTCCTAGTTGTTAAAGTTGTTTTAAAATCTCTTATTCAACAGGACTTAGGATGCGGATGGGGATCAACAGCTTTCTGGATATGCGAACATTACCCAAACTGTAAAGTACTGTGTGTTTCTAACTCCCAGACACAGAGAATGTTCATTGAAAGAGAAGCACAGCTGAGAAACTATGGCAACCGATTGCAATGCATAACAGCTGATGCAAATGTCTTTACCACTTCCATGAAGTTTGACAGGATTATTTCCATTGAAATGTTTGAGGTTTGTTTATGCCTTTGCATGACAAGATTGTGTAGTCTTAGACAATGCCACTGTCACTGTCACTGTCTTGTGTAGTCTATAATGGGATAGTGCATTATAGAGAAGCACAAGTGAGGCACACTGCTAATAGGCGCTATCTAAAAGATTTAAAAAAATCTATGACAGCAATGTCAACCGGAAGTGTAAATAATTTCACTTCGGGATTCTGCTCATTGCAGATTTCATTCAAAACATTGTCAGTGTGTAAAGTCATCTCATCCACATGGAACACATACTTTGAAGGCGCCAAACCCCAAAATAAAGTCATCTACACTTCCAGTTGATGCTGTCGTCATAGATTTTGCTCAAATTAATGACATTGAACAATTGTTCTAGGATGGGAATACTTTACACCCAAGCTGAAACTTCATTTATTAATCCTTTTAGCACATGAAGAATTACGATCTTCTAACGTCAAGAGTATCAAGTTGGTTAAAGCCTCATGGATACCTCTTCATCCAAATTCTTTGTCACAGAGAATTTGCTTATGAATTCAAGATGAAGTCAGGCTCCGACACTGAATGGATGGCACRAAACTTCTTCTCTGGTGGCACCATGCCTTCCAGCGATTTATTTTTCTACTTCCAGAAAGACCTCTTCGTTGTGGACCACTGGAACATCAACGGCAACCACTATAGTAAAACTCTAGAAGCTTGGTTGGATAAGACGTATGATAATCTTGATAGAGTTAAGTCGATATTCAGTGCTAACTATGGTAGCAATAGCATCACACAACAGTTGTTTAATTGGCGAATGTTTTTTATTTACTGTGCTGAGACTTTYGGTTTCAATAATGGGAATGATTGGATCGTTTCACATTGTCTCTTTAAAAAACGTGTAGCAAGTTCATTATAAATGGTTATGATCACTATTCTATAGCAAGGCCTAAAATAATGTCACGTCAGTCATCTAGCAGTGGTAGTGTTCACCAGCCAACTTGGTCATACCTTATTTCTGGCTCAACGTTACTGGTCATAATGACCAGCAAGGCAAAGATTTGACTGGACAAAAACATTCCAATTCTGGACAGACATTGTCAGATGACTGATTGTAATYATAAGCCTAGCTGCCAAGTAGTGAAACAGAAGACAGGGTAGCTATGTTGGTTGAAATAACAAAAGACCTAATGACAAATCTTTTGTAAAGTTCAACTAAGATGGTGCCATAAAAACCAGCAAAAAAAAGGCCCTCTCTTGTGGTTTTGTATTGTATTTTATTTATATTTTTCAAATGACTTACTATTTACATGGAACCAAATCAAATCAAATCAAAAATTGTCACTATAGAAAATTATTACTTACTATTATTCTCATATTATTTCTAAYAAACGAAAACTTTTTACTACTGTACCATAATCTGCTTACATATTTTTGAAGGATCAAAAAGGTACTGCGCGAAAATCTACTTGATTACTATAAGTAACAGTTTTTGAAAATCATAAGATGGGTCTTAGCAGAGATAATGCATGTCTTATAACAGGGAATAAAGGCTGGTGTAGCAGAAGCACACTTGCCACCGACCACTGGAGTCATCTCAGTATATCATCTGCTGCATCATCTTTGCCAAAACTTTCATCAATACATGTAGAYGAGTCAATTGTTGGATGGAGCGTAGAATTCAGCTTGTTTCTTTAAGTTCATTCTCAAGTTTTTCGAGCTACGATAAACAAAAGATAAATAATATCAATTAGAACATAGCTACAATTTGCAATGCTCACATTTCCACAAGGCTTTGCTTTTTTGGGGGATGTACAACTGAGGCCAAAAACTGTTAAAATATTAAATGTTCCTAAACTGAATGTACACTACACCCACTTTTATCTGTAAAATACTGATTATCAGTTTATTTTCACTGATTTAAATTTTTCATATTCAGAACACCAACAAGTTTAGTGCTATAAAATAACATTTAATTAAGCCCACCTCTTCTTCCTGTTCTTTTTCTTGTCGTAAGATATYCTCTAAAATCTTCTGAAACCGTTCCTATGAAAGAAAAAAACACAATAAATTTACAACTTGAGAGCACACAGTCTTGTTCTGGACTCAGCATCACTTGTGAGTAGAGATTTTGGGGTTTTCTCTCTTAATTCAAGGCCTTTCCCTGGGTTCTCCGCTATTCCTCCTTCCGCAAAACCAAACGCTAAATTCCAATTTGCCACGCCCCAACTTTGATCAGCCCAGAGGTTGTTTCAGAGTGGGATCTATGGGTAAGCTGTCAGCCCAGAGGTGTTTTTGGGATTCAGTAAAAATTGAAGGTTGTATTGAAGTTTATATGGTGTAGTTAATTACAAACTGCTTCAATTGAGTTAGGAGTTCTCAGAGTTAAAGATAAAGAATTCATTTATAATTGGTGCTAGTGAAATATTAACCTTTAAAAATGGATTAGCTGCTCCACTGACTCTTGCTATTTGTTGAGCTTTGGAACTTCTTATTTCTTCAAGTTTTTCCCTGGCATCCTCCAGCTGGGATTTCAATCCTAAAATATAAGTTGAGTATGAGTGTTGACCAAGGTACAGAGACATAAACTGCAGAGAGGGAGGTGCTGGGGGTTTTAGTCTCCCACGCTTTGCTGATGTCCACTGAATTTAATAATAATAATAATATTAATAATAATATTCAATTCTTCACACTCACCCTCGTCAAATTCATCATTATCATCTCCTTCCACATCAACATCATCATCATAATTTTCTTGACTTTGATCCTGGTCGTCTTCTTCATCTTCATCACTGCTTGCCTCCTGGAGAAGTTTAAARAGTTCGTTCCTTTCTTCATCATCACTAGCCGTTGTCATCTGTGATAGATCATCATTCCTTAAAGACAGTGAGTTTACGGACAGCTCTGCATCTGTGGGTAGGTTTATGCTATTCAAAAAACAGAGCAACAGCATTACTTTTTATTGACCTTTTAGAGAACATTAGTAAAAAGAAAAATGTAAGTCATTAAAGCAGAACAAAAAGGAAAGTATCTTCGACAGTAATRAAGGTATTATTCATACTTTTGAGAATCGTCAGGTTTTTCTTCGTCGTTCAGGACTTCAAATGCTGTAAAAGAGTCAAGGACTTCACAACCGTACAAGCAAAATACAATGTACCTTTATTCTTTAATACATACTGTAGGGTGAAAAATGTGTATGGCAAGAGAGAGAGCAACAAAGTCTTTAAATACACAGAAGTGAGAGACAGCACCATACCAGCTCACAGGKGCAGATCTAGGGGAGTTGTGCAGGAGAAGCATGCCCTCCCCCAGATGAGCTGATATTTGCTGCATTACAGGTGAGTTTGTAAGCAAAGGGTGCACCCCCTTCTAAAAAGAAAATCCTGGATGATGCACCCCTCTTTCCCCCACTAGAATAAATCCTGGATCCACTCCTCAGCGCATGTCACTCATGACTGCTTTGGTTACATACACTAAAGGATACTGACAGTAGTAGCACTCAAATCTGTCCTCAATAATCTTTTGACTTCTTTTTCTATTTCTGGAGATTCTGATACCTGAATAACAAAAAAAAAACAACAACATTAGTTTGACAGACTGCAAATCTCATTAATCATGATGACTGATTTATATAATTTTACACAACAGTTCTTTTAGTAGAAAAAAGTCATCAGATGTCTACTTTGAATACAATAATTTCCCATTTCAAACCACATGTCAAGATCCTTTTTAAAAGTTGTATCAATATTGATGTGTCTTTTCATGCCCAACCATTACAGTGCAACTGCTATAACCAGGGCCACTTGGACCAGAGAACCRATTAAAATGTAGAATGAAAACAATGCAATTCCAACTTTGGGTAGTGGAGCCAATCAAAAACCTAGACTGTACAAGGATGTTAATTTGACCCTGAGGTTACATGTAAACAACTAGATCTAGCCGTCATCATTATCTTGCGAGAATAAAAAGATATAAGGAAAGGCTATTGTTTGCTGCTGCTTTCTGATTGGCTCCACTGATCAAAGATGGAATGTTTTGTTTTTATTCTACAATTATTATTGGATTGGTTCTTGYTGTCTAATTGGCACCAGTTTTAGTAGTTGCACCGTAAGTAAAGAAATGTTACTAAAGAGAATGATATATTGTCTATGAGCAATTGTAAACGAGCAAATATTATACCAAAGGTAATGAGGGTCTACTGAAGGCTTGCCTTTTTCTTTGCCATTTTTCTGAATCTTCTTTTTCTTCCATTTTTGAGAGGTGGTGTAACTAAAAAGYAAGAAAACAAATTGACATCTCAACTTCAAATAAACTTCCAAGGTTTAAAGATCAAATGATATAAGTATRCAGGCTCTTAGGATTGGTCTCCAAATTCATCTCCATAACCTAAAACAACATGAAATCCTTACCAATTTTCCTTCAAAATTTGGGAAGGCAATTAACAGTGCTACAAATCCAAATGTCTGTTGTTCTGGTTCCTGAAATATCAATCATTTACTCAAAATATTTCTATTCTTACTTCCATGGTTCCAGATGAATTTCTTGGATTCTTTTTTGTGATGTTTGTTTTCATCTTCTGGACTGTCATGATCGCCATTGGAACACACCAAGAGCTACAGTATACAAAAATGAATTATAAATAATATTCAAGGCTCAATAATTTGATTTCACTAGACATACATCATTTCCTGCCTCACATAAAATGTTCATCAGTTGAATTACAAGTTTCAGATCTATAGYTTCTATCTAAAGTATCAAAAAGTAAAAGTAAATGCTAATGTGTTATCTTTCCCCACTGTGGTTCCAAATGTTCAGGTCACTGGTTCRAGCCCTGCAGACACCATTATGTGAATTGAGTTTGTTTGATGTGTTATTGTTGTTTGATGTCTTCTCTCCTGTGCTTTGAGGGTTTTCTTCCAGCTTCTCCGGTTTTCTTCCCTCCACTAAAATCAGCTTCTAATTTTTAAGTTGATCTTAAAAGGTCTGGGTGAAAATAACTATGACTGTGAAAATCTAGTTACCCTATCACATTTTCTCATTACCTGACAAACATCAGCTGTTTTGTAGAAGCTTTTGCAGTCCAGTGTTTTATGTGATTCAATTAAACAAGGCAGATCAACAAGCTATTGACAAGAACAACAATAACATTATTYTAGATAATTTGCCATAAGGCAGGTGCTACACAAAAGAACAATTGTCCCCTACGAGGCACGACACCATAATAAGTAATAAACACATTAATAAGTAATCTGACTTTCTTTAAGTGTAGATGAAAAGGAATAATGCTCAACCTACTCAACTTCCTAGCAGGGTAGAAAAGGACTTCTGCTCACAGGGTAGGGAATGACATACAGTTTCAAGCAAAACGTTTTCAAAAATTGATTGAAAATGAGTAGAGTTTAATATATTCAATGTTGTACCATACCTTACTTGAAAGGGCCTCTCCATTGACTCGAACAGTGGCATATCTGTTATCGGCTATAAAAAGATTGAAGTATTAAATGTCGTCATCTATCAACATCATCATGTATCATCATCATCATTATCATGTATCATCATCATCATGTATCATCATCATGTATCATCATCATGCATCATCATCATGTCTCATCATCATGTATCATCATCATGTCTCATCATCATGTATCATTATCATGATCATCATGTATCATTATCATGTATCATCATCATACATTATCATTATCATGTATCATCAATTTTCAAACTACCTTGAAACTCGATGGATAGCTTGTCCTTTAGTGTTCCAGCTGTGAGAGCATTCCTTACAAAGTCAGCTTGTTTCTAAAGAACGAAAGACAAAGCGAATTCTAAGCTTTCGTTACAAGTCAAAATACTACATAACAATATACAAACAATTTTCACAAGAACAGACCTGTGGCAAACGAAGAATGAATTGATTTTCGAGTACTCCACTTTCGTACGATTTTACTTTCGAAGACATGACCCTTTTTTGACGCAAAATATTTTAAAACAACGCAAAATTAATCGCTAAAAAGAGCAAAATAAAAATATTCGTCCTTTGTCCGCCATCTTGGAAAACCAACTGCGCGCGCATGTTGAGAAACTCATTTTTACTGCGGGCTCAGTTTCTAGTAAATCCACAGGTAGCCCAAGCTCTAATGTACTTCATATATTCGAATATTTCAAGATATATTCATGATAAAYTCCAAAAGAGCTCTTATATTTCATCGATCGTTTCCTTGTGTATATTTAGACTGACTGAGATCTTTTCAGTAAGTTTTKGTATATTTTCTCTAAATAAATAATGATTGTGCCTTGGGCTTCCTGTGGTGTAGAAGGTCTGGAACGAGCAAAGATAAAAGAYCGACTTCGAAGAAAATGTGAAGAATTTGGAGGTCTTTCCTTCACTTTTCTTCAAAATGGGAAGGTCTTCAAAAGACAAACGCGACATATACTACCGCCTTGCCAAAGAAGAAGGSTGGAGGGCCCGAAGTGCGTTCAAACTTTTGCATTTGAATGAAGATTTTGAGCTGTTTTCTGGGGTGAATCGTGTGGTTGATTTGTGTGCAGCACCAGGCAGTTGGAGCCAAGTTTTGAGTCGTAAGTTGATTGAGGAAAGAACTGAGGGAAACGAAGATGTGAAGATTGTTGCTGTGGATTTACAAGCTATGGCGCCTTTGCCTGGCGTTATACAAATCCAGGGAGACATAACAAAGGTATAATTTGAGTGTGGGGGAGGGAGGGGGAGGGAGGGTAGAAAACAGATTCAGATTTCAGTCTCCTTTTTAACGAATAAGATACTTAATAGACCTCTTTAGCTTAGGTATAATGTTTTCCCATTTCAAACCACTTGAGAATAAGATTCTTTGTTTGAGTTATATCCATATTCATGTGTTTTCTCATGTACAACCATTGAACAAACAAAGGATATTCTTTGACTAGGAAATAAAATATGGTCCAAAATGGGAAAACATTATGCGAAAAATATTTATACCCCAATTACAGCCAATTGCTGCCACACCCAGGAAGTTAAAGAAATTGATTAATTCTACCATGTTGCACTTTCTGCCCATTTTGAAATTCCAGTATCCCTTCATTTCAAATATGTGGATATTTAAGCATTTCATTCCTTTTTTACAGGCATCCACAGCCACACAAATTATTTYACATTTCGAAGGAGAGCATGCAGATCTTGTGGTATGTGATGGTGCGCCTGACGTGACAGGTTTACATGACATTGATGAATACATCCAAGGTCAACTTCTCCTTGCGGCACTTAACATAACCACTCATGTCCTAAAAAAGGGTGGTAACTTTGTTGCCAAGATTTTCAGAGGAAAGGATGTATCTCTTCTGTACTCCCAGCTCAAGATTTTCTTCCCTACTGTTACAATTTGTAAACCAAGAAGTAGTAGGAACTCCAGTATCGAGAGTTTTGTGGTGTGTCAAAATTACTCTCCTCCTGAAGGGTACAAGCCAACGATGTCTAATCCTCTTCTGGACTGTCACCAGAACCCTGATTTTCAAAGGTAGGAATCTAAGTTGTTGTTATTATGTTAAGCTATGATCTTTCTTTGATTTGTCTCTAACAATGATTATTGTTGGGGGAAGATAGGGTTGTACCTACTAGTCTTTTGCATGGGCTCTATYATCTTATCTATATTGAGTATATTAATTATGATAATGATAAAGATGTTGATGATGATGATGATAATGATACATGATGAAGATATATGATGATGATGAAGATGATGATGATACATGATGATACATGATGATGATACATGATGATGATATATGATGATGATACATGATGATGATGTTAAATGATGATTATGATGATGATACATGATGATGATACATGATACATGATGATGATACACCATGATAATACATGATGAGGATAAATGATGATGTTATATGATGATGATGATGAAGATGATAATGATAATGATAACTTGAATGGATAACACAATTACTGGAAATCCAGTAGTTTATGTTGTGGCCCTACGACAGTTTACCTAATGCCTATATACAGATTAGCTAATCATAATATTGTACAGTATATAACTTGTATGTTTATTATTTAAAGTTTAAAAGCCAACTGTCATTTTGTTTAAAACCTTCCGTTTTTACTTTTTTAAACATTTTTCTAATCTCTTTGCCTCTTTACCCATTAACTATTTATTCATGTAGTAACCTTTTAACTGAATTGTTGCTTCTTTTTTCTATTCTTAGTTTGGAAGGCGTGAATCGAGTTGTGGTGCCTTTCCTGGCCTGTGGTGACCTGAGTGCGTACGACTCGGACCAAACATACCTTTTGGAAGCAAAGGAAAATGGAGAGTACAAGTCCCTTCCTCCCACCCAAGCACCTATAGACCCTCCTTACAAAACTGCTTGTTATCTGAAGAAAAATAGTATGCTGGCTACACAGGATAATAGTGATGGAAGTCAATCTGGGTCTAAAGAAAGCTAGGAAACAGTTCTCTGGTCTTGGTCTTAATCTATTCTTTCCAAAGTTGCCATTGCCTTCACTACCAGCACCAACAGACCCTCCTTATAAAACAGCCTTGCTAGCAACCCTGGTTGATGACGATATAGAAGTGCACCCACTTCCACAGGAAGCTAGCAAATGGGAAACTAGTTTTCTGACTTGCTGTCTATTATCCTATGAGAATCAACCCCAAACAGTATTTAGGTATTCTTGTACTTCATGACCAGCCGACAAGTGCCGGTCAACTGTTGGTGGATAGTCGACCGACTTTTGACCAACACTTGACCGTCACTTGACCGTCACTTGACCGTCACTTCACTTGACCGTCACTTCACTTGACCATTACTTCGTAATGGAGTTAGAATGTTATGAAAGACAAAATGATTTGAGAAGCTAGTATATGTAAATGGAAAACTGGATTTCTGACATGCCATCTATTCTCTACTCTTGTCTATGGCTATGACAACCAACAGCAAACAGCATCTACTTCATTCTTGGAGGTAGAAAGTTAGGAAGGGAAAGTTGAGACAAGAAGCTGGTAAACAAATTGGAGGTTCTGATATCCAACTTGATGTTTGTTTTACGAAATAGGATGCTAGTAATGTAACTCAGCTACACTTGTAGTTTAAAGCAAGTGATTTTATCAAGGCAGACAAGTAAGTACATAATAGAAAATTTCTAATAAGCAAGAGTAATGAATGAGAGGAGATATGCTAGTTTGGTAGTGGAGATTGGATAGAAATTTATCCAGAAAATGAGACCAGAAACTCATACCTAACATAAATATGTAAGTGGTGTAAATCAACTGATAATATTCAGATATCTTCATCTATTCATATATCTTAATCTCAGTCCTACACAACAGGATTTTTCCTTTCACTTATTTTTTCTTTTAGAAATCATTTTAGTATTCATCCAAAGGTTGAAAAAATGTAAAAATATCAAAGGAAATAGGCATAGTTCTGGAAATATCCCTATCTGCTCCCTAAATTGAAGAGGGAAATGAGGGATAGACCTCTTTACCTTGGGTGTAWCGTTTTCCCTATTTCAGACCACCTGCCATTTTCTTGAGAATAAAATTCTTCAATTGAGTTGTATCCACATTCATGTCTTCTCATGTGCAACCATTAAACAAAGAAATGATACTCTAGGGAATGACACACAGCCTGGGATTGGAAAACATTATGCCCAAGCTAATTTGGTCTATCTAATATACAAGAGTTGAAAGACTAGATGGTCAGGGAAAAAAATTAATTAGCTTATCAGGGCATATTCTGTTTAAGCTGCAATTAAACACTTTGCTTTGTCAAGAAATATTTCAATATYAAAATTGCTAATTATCAATTATTTATTCATCATTATTGGTGATGATTCGTGTTGTAAGTAATTGATAATTAATAGTACATTTTAATTATCCCACAAATACTGTAGGTACAACTCATYTGATCTTTACATTTCTTCGGTACCAATTATATTAATTTTAATGGCTGTTACTAGTTATTCATTTAACATCAGTTTGCCACAAAGCATTTATTTGAGGCTGCAAGGTTCAAATATGAATAATTTATAAATCAGATGTCAGTTTAAAGYGTTTCCATGACATCCCATTGGCATGCACACTTCAAAACGTCAAATATCCAGACAGTGTATTTCCAGACTTTGATGTCTGCCAATTCCTCTTTTTTCTTCAATGAAAACCGAAAYACTTTCTTCAGACTTAATCCAAATGCATTAAATAATTTTATTCTTTGTATGTTAGGATTTTACTAAGATCAAGTAGAAAAAGTTCAGATCTAAGGAAAGATCTTTTATAATCAAGAAAGAAAATCAAAATTATTAGAAACATTTCTAGTTGTTTTAGTTTTTCATCCTACATTAATCTATAAAGCAAAAAAAAAATTGATTTTAGAAAAGTTTTCTACCATAAGAAATTTAAATTTATTTCTCCAGACAAAACATTTTTAAACTAATAATCAATCTTTATGTTAGAACAGGCTGATTATTTTGGCAGCTTTTGCTGATTCGGGCATGCTTTCACTACCACTACATTAATTTTATTATTTTAAGCACACAACACTCAACGATATGGTTGAAAATTTTCTGGTTTTTAGGTGCCACATTTCTGATGATGAATATGCCAATAATTCCAGTTTTTGAATAATTTTATCAGTTTATYTATTTCTCTCATATTAGAATTTTGTTCAAACGCCATGTTTTTTTAGATTAATTTTTTCTGTTAGAACTAGTCTTTCTCTTAGAAAATATGCAGTGAAAATAATTTTACCAATAACACGAGATTAGAATATGAATAATCAAAATAACAACTTGGAAATAATACCACACAACATGAATCCGGAACAAAATGTAGACAATTCTTGCCCAAGTAAAGCCTTTTTTTAAACAATTATTATTTTTTTGCTTTAGAAATCTTCAACATGAATTCCTGAATTCTATAAAACTACTCTTCATGTCAAAGCAAAATTTTAAAACTTGCACACACCAGATAACTGGGATCTATTAATATGATAAATAGTTAATGTCATTTTATGATAATTTGCCTTTTTGGTGAGATTCCTTGGAATACCTAATGTAAGACCTTTGAGAGAGTTGAACAGCAATGTTACAGTTCCAAGAAAGTCAATTTTGGTGACTGCAAAAATACCATGCTTTTGGCGTAACCGTAAGGTCAAGTGATATGCATTGATAGTTAACRCTCAAGGGTTTAATTTATGCAGATATTATAAAAATATAGTCAATCAGTCCAGCAGGCATGATAACCTTGAATTGCTTGTTCAACAACAAGAAATTTTTATCTCTGATAATCAGTGATTTTTTTTTTTTTTTTCATTTATTTGTTTATTAACTAATAACTTTTACTAGGAGACAACATCAAAGTCAATTCAGGTTGCTAGTTTCTTACATCGAGAAAGTAATAGATTGGAGGAAAAGAATTGAAAACAAARATTGACTTCAAAACTAGACTGTAAACATTTTTTTCTTGGGCATTATTTTAAAATTGTATCCTAGAGAAAAACCTAAACGTATTTCTATTTCCCAACCACCCCTGGATCAATGCATAAGGCCTAAAGGAGTAAATGTATGGAATAAAGTACTACCAAAGCTGACCCATACATAACTTATCACCTGTAATTATTGCTCTATATAACAATACATCACATCACAGGTTATTTATAGGGGGGCAGAATGATGAAGAACGATAACAATTTGGGTCACTTTAGCTACAGCTGAATTYATAACCCTAATATGTCTRRTTTTCAAACATTTTATAAACCTATTAACCTGGTTTATYCTACAATATACACCTATTTCAAAAAAAGTTTGTCTAATAATAAGCAGCTCRTAAAGTCCTCCACTGATCTTGTAAAACACCATTGAGCTCCTGGAAATKGTGCTATATAAATTCATCCCTTTTTTTCCATCTATCTCTAAAGGTGATAGGTCATTCCGACATGGAAATGGTTTCATTGAATACAAAGAACATTGAATGGACACTAAGGTTCATGTTCTTAACAACAATAAGAARCAGAAACAAGTCATTCCAGCTATTCTTGGATCTCAGAATGACCTATCGCTYTTCCCCTATTGCCTATCRCCTTTGGCGGTGACAACATTTTTTGAAATAGGTGTTAATGTATTATTGCTTAAGTTATAAAAAATACTTTTATGATCAGTTTTTTGTTGTTGCTGTTTTGTATTCCTCCTATAACCATGATTCTTAGCGGTCAAACAAAGGATTGTTTTCTTGTGATATAGGGCAATTTATAATAATAATATATATCTCAAATAAACAATTGTCTAACTTCAATGGAAAAATGTTTTGTGTCAAATATTTTTATTGAGACGATGTTTTTCGTAGTAAAAGACTTGGACCATTTTATGGCTACAATAGTGTTGAGAGGATGYCCTGACAATATATTTATGTACATAATTAATGCTATTGTTATCAAATAAAATAACAGACAATCTTAAACATTTACTTTAAAAACATAAAATTCTTTTCTCAAAATTACTTTGAAAAGTTAGACAAGGTTTAAAAATATCAAGAAGAACAATGAAATATCTTAGATGATAAATACATCTGTTTTTAAGTTTTGACAAAAAGTTCATTAAATTTTTGGAATGTTATCATGTTTTGTATTGCGCTGCAATAACTATTATTTTATGGTCAATAGATAGATATGTTTTTATTCTAGAAGTCGTAATTTAAGACTTATTAGTTGTATGTCAAAGAAAACACAAATGTTTCAAATCTTTTTCCTCAAGTTTTTCCCATTTAAATACTTTGAGCCTATTTTTGAAGGTTTTTGAAATAATTGAATTGTAAGACACCCTGTGAAAAGACCATGCCTTAACACAATTTCAATAACAAAATAGCATTTCTTTYGACTATCATAGTGTAATAATAATAGAAAACAGTCCTGTCATGCTCAGTATGTCCAGAACTTAAGAAGAACAAACTAAAAACCTTCATCACCTATTCTAAATTTAAAACATAAAAGGTTTGATTTCAATAAGTGGATATATTCTTTTGTTAGATCATAGCACATGGAACGGGCTCTCAAACACATTGCTTGTGTGGATACATATTTTCAAAAGCACTGTGGTTTAACAACAAGATGCCTTGTCAATCACAACTGAAGGATAGCAAGAATGGATTCGCAAGAACATATTGTCACAAAGTCCTTCAACAGATAGTTGAGTACTTTGAGCTTTAAAATCAAATCTTGGTAGAGATAGATAAAGGACATAACACCTTAGAAACTTAGAAATACCTAAATGGGAAAAACCTTGTCAACCAATCGGAACTTGTCAATGATTTATTCATTCACTAACACAAGCTGTATTATACAGTTACATAATTGAATATATTCTTGTTATGCAAGCAATAGTACGACCATCATCAACCAATAATTTCACCTAATAGATCTAAGTTTGGAATAGAGCCAGTATAGGTTGTCTCCAAGTTATTCAGAGAACCTGATGATTGTTCGAGAAGTGATGCAAAAGATGGTGCTTTCTCTAGTGAGCCTAGTGGTGAAAAAGGATTATAATTTGAATCTGAATTTGCAGTCGAGGTTGGATTGTCGAGAGCCAAAGGGTCAGAAAAACTTTGTGCCCTTGTTACCTTAGGAATGTCATTCCTTGTGGAATATTTCATTTCCTGTGAAATATTCTGTCTACTTGAGTCTCTTAAATTTGTGCCATAGCCCATTGTCTGGTGATCTGGTCTTGAAGGAGGCATAGCCCCAGATTGAGTCATGGCGGCCCTGCTTCTTTGCGGCATCTGCATAAGTCCTTGCATTGCAGATTGCGATGGAAAGCCTGTAGTTCTATTATTATAATTATATCCTGCTGTGGTGTTTGTCCTGCCATCTATCATAGCATTAGCAGGATTCTGTCCGGGTGGTATATTGTTTCGCATTTGATTCACTTGTCCTTGGTATGCCGTGCCTGGTGGCCCATAAGATGGAGCAGGCTGACTMATAGTACGATGATACAACGKGAATGAATTGCGTCGATTAAAATGATATGCAGTAGAAGACATGTCTGTTTGTTGAGGTTGTGCTTGTGAAGGTACTTGCTGATCGCCAACCGTATACTGATTCATCTGTTGATTATACTGCTCAGGGTAAGCCTGTCCTGGTAACGGCATGGACATTTGTCGCTGGAATGGCGTCTGTGAGGACTGTAAATTTTGGTATCCACCATTAGTGTATGGAGGAAGGTTCTGCATAGACATATTGTTGTTGACTTGAGGGACTGTTTGTGACATGGTAACTTGTGTGGGGTATTGCTGATACGGGGGTTGCTGGTGTTCTGGAATACTGGGATGCGAGAGCCGGTGAGACATAGATTGCTGCTGATTTAACCTTGAGTATAATGCCTGCTGTTGGGCTTGGCTTTGCATCATTCTCTGGTATTGCAGTGACTGAGTAGTATTGCTAGAAAATCCTGTCGACATAATGACATTGTGATTCTGATCCTTTGATGAATACATATTCCCAAACTGATCGGCACCTGTTGCCATTGAACCACGAAAACGACCCGCAGCAGAGAATTGAGCAGGTTGATTTGCATTTTGGTTTGGCATTTGTGGTTGGGTACCTGAAACAGCAAATCTAATACTATCCATGAACTGCATTTGCTGTGATCGAAATTGCTGACTTGCATTTGGTTCCTGTCCATCCATATACCCAGAAACAGCTTGGGCCCTCTGGCTTTGTGCTTGCCTGGCCAAGTGTTGCAAATGAAGTGCTCCAGGGGGCCCTTGGGAGGGAGGGGTAGGGTATTTGTTTTTCTGACCAGTGGCTTGGTTTGGGACAGTTGGATTTTGCTGTTGAACATTTAGCGTATCCCTAGCATCAATTTGTGATTGTGCTGGTCGAGAAATCTGGTGATGTTGAGGTGAAATCTCGGAATTTATGGAAGGAATTCCAGCGTTCTTGAACATATCATTAAGAATGCGTTGGAAGTCATCAAGCTGTTGCTGTAATTCATGACCCACGCTAGGATCGGTAGATTTATTCTCTGTACTAGTACGACCTAAACCATTAGGTATACTATCGCGCGATCTACTACGTACAGTTCGACCGCCATCACATGAAACTGCAATAGAATGCGATTCTTGCTTGAACTCTGTTGGAGGTAAAGAGTTCGGCGATGCTACCCTGTTGGCGTTTTGATATGTCTCGGAAGGATGAGCTCCTGACGAAGTTAACAACGGTGAACTCCTCGAAGTATCCCCAACAAAGTGACCGTTACTTCCCATAACCGATCCAGAGRGCATAGTTTCGCTAGATAATGAATCTCCTTGATTCGCAGATTGTTGTTGTTGTTCAGCTTGCGAGGAAGGTAACGATATTTGATGTTCATGCGATACCAGAGAAGAATTATGGACGTCGTCCGCTCTCGGATATTTCGATAAACTTTCGCCTCCAATTTGTCCATTTTCGTTGTCACAGCTCAAGTGAATATTATTCATTCCCTGGTCGTGTTTCCGCTTTGAGATAATTCGCTGCTGTAAAGAGAGAAAAAAATAAACTCAGGAGAGAGAAAATTGAGACATGTGCTTGGAATAACCACCATTAAACAATCGAATCTCCATCATCAACAGTGCCAAAAAAAACTTGCATAATGAAATGCAAATACAAGAAAGTTTCGGCACCTTGATCGAGCAACACACAACAATGTTACCTGAAGAATTGCATTAGTAGACTTCAACTCCAGTCCATTCGATGGATGCTCCATCTTCGGCATTGAATCTTGTTGTTTCATTTTTGCGTTGAACAGCTTCGTATTACGACCCTCTAAGGGTCGTTTGTTCAGTAGCATCATCGCTTCTTGTCTCTCCTGGTCCTCTAGCACCGCCAGCGATCGCTCCTGTTTGCTCTGGCAATCGGAGTGACGCTTTCTGTAWTGCACTAATCGTTCACGGAGTTTGTCCACAACCGCTTGATGTTTAGGAGTCATATTCCTCTCTTCCATGTTGCAATACGACCAACAGTGTTCACGATTTGTCGTAGGACTCCGATTGTTCCTTCGAAGGCCTAGAACATCGAAGGAGCCTCACCTGAGAGAGATTTTCGCCGATCGCTTGCCCGTCACATGAGTTTTTCCCTTAATTTTCTAGCGACATGGCCAAAACTACAACAGATATACATACACACATCGAACCGTCTTCTACGATTAGCAAWGTATCGAGGGGTCGACAAACTCCTGACGTAACCACTACGTCATCTAGAAGAACTTAGCGTTTCATCAGCTTTGCCCTTATCTCTAGGGCTTTGAGCATTTGAGCTTTAAAAAAATAAGTAATAATTATTCAGCAATCCTTACATAAATCCTAACCCTTTTTTGATTCCAGCTACGCGTAGTGGAATACTAAAGAGAGTTTACAGCCCGGAATTTTGTTAATTTTTATCGATATTGACAATCCATTTGAGAGACTAGTTGAGGAGTTGCATTCTGAAAACACACACGCGTTGTCCTTAAGTTTACTTTAAAAATTACTCTACTAATTTATTGGAATAATGTGTTATTTTTTAACGCCCACAGTCGTTTACAAAGCGTATTTTAGAAGGGTAAAATACGGGGAATGCAAAGAATGATGTTCATTGAATTTCGGACCTACATTTGAGGGTTTATCAAAGTCGAGTTTCTCATGACTCGGTGGAGAAGACGACAACGCATGATTGGTTAGAATATATAAGAAGTTGTTTTTGTTTGATTGTGACAGGCCAAATGATTGGAACCCCGAACACGAAACATTTTATTCATGTAACCCGCAATCACRCTTGGATCCTAGTGGAGTAGCTAATACATCAGTATACTCACTGTTCTACCTCAACCTTACCTCAATCAATAGCTGCAACAGCTATTCTCTTCGATTTCATTTTTCTTACCCCCTTTGGGAAATATTGAGTTTAGATTTTGAGTTGTCAAATAGTGCTTGTTATCAAAAGTCGTAAATCTTTCCTCGATGTTGCTTGGTATTCTTTTTCCGATGATAATACTGCTGGGAATTTTATTTAGTTTTCGTAATCTCAGAGAAGACAGTTCTTGTTTGCTTAAAAACTTACTCAAGAATAGGCTCAGTTAATTCACATAAGAGTGTCAAATGACCAATTTTTGGTGACGATTTTTGCGCGATGTTTCACGAAGCGAGACGCGTGTTTGTTCATTTTGTTGATGAAGACTTTAAAAGTCTGGGATATTTGCATTGTACGGATATTCAGCTTTTACATACTAATATTATGTCGGATTGAAACTCCATGTGTTGGTAGGTCGCTGGGCTCAGTGGTATGCGGTCGCGTTAGTATGACGGTGGTTTCTGGACATTGCAGGATTTAAATGCGCTTAAATAAATCCTGAAGAACAAAAAACGTAGCGAAATAATAAACCGGCCTGACGACTGAAAATGATGTGACGTAATACTACAGAGTTTCCACTCGGCATCATCAGCTATGGAAACAAGACTGAACTGAGTAACATTATTTGTCACAACCAAAAGCACGCGTCGCTTGTAACTAAGCGACTTCAAACTTGTCGCAGAATTCTTCATTTCTATCATGGCCACGACCTTACAARTTCTATAATTAGTCCGTGCTTTGAACGTGGGTTTTTCTTGATGGTTTCTATTAAAAGAAAAAGAATTTATTTGGGGAAAAAACGAACTTCAGCTTATTTTCCAGTTGTCTTTGTTGACCTAACACTTCCACGAAAGCGAAGAAAAGCGAAGTTAMATTTATGCGGCTAATGTGGTTTGAGTACATAATTTTGAGCGAGTTGAAGAAATACAACCTCTTTAAATCCAAGCACGCGTTTTTATACTTCTGAATTGCTTCTGGATTGATTCATTTATCTCCTCATTAACCGGGTTTTCGATCGTCCTTCCTTGGGTTTTTCTTCTCCAAAACACGCACCCACCACTTCGAACCCTCACGCAAATATCTCTGCCAAGTGATTTGTCGTCATAGTTTTTAAGTGATTAGCTCAACGTAACCCGTTCGCTATCACGCTATACACTTCTCCCTGTGACAGGCTTTGCCTTAGTTCTACATAGTCCTTCCTCTCTAGGGATGTGCAACTTAAGACTCTCTCGCTTTCCAATTCCGTTCTGCTTCCCTTCTTTATTTCTCGAACTCCGGTCGAGCATCGTTTGGAGATACTGTCTTAGTCTCACAAAGGTCTCCCTCACGTGTCATCCAGAGGTTCATAAATCCGTGTATGCTGCCCGAGTACTCAGAGCAACTAGTGAACTAAGACAAGGTGGACCGTGCGCCGAAACCTCGAATTTGTCTATGGATTCTCTTTGAAGAAGAAGGGAAAACGCCATATGAATTCAGCCTATTGTTGGGTCACAGTCATGGAGGGTTTTGTGCATCCTTAAAAACTCAGAAATTCCTATGAACTTGAGGATTCTCCGAGATCCCGGCATGTGAGGAATTCTTTGGGCAACACTCACCACACCCATACTARGCATTGTTTAGTGTGAGAACAAGTTTACCTGTTCATTTTAAGTCTGTAGAATCGAATTTTCACCCGCCGCTGAAGTCGACAAGTGCATATCTTTACTAGAAGTCCTCTTAGAGTTCTTAGCTCAAGTTTTCGACAAGTACATTTTTTATTAGTATCGTATCGTTCTTTCGAATCTGCTGATCATGATGACGTAGACTGTCTTAGCCCTGAGGCCCAAGCTCGAGAGCTGGAGATTAGTATTTGAATCMTAAAATCTATCTTTACGTCATTTTGAAAATTCGCGCACATCAATGTTATGTCTTTCCTCTTCTATGCGATAAACATGCACAGAAAGCGCTGCAGTCGTCGGGTAAAAAAACAAAAACTTATATTTTAAAACCATCACTCCCCATACGGGACTCTTCCATGAGGTTCCCTTTAAATGCACTAACACTACATCCTATATTTACAAGTACAACACTCAACTCACATGTCGATTCTTACGGAGGGACGAAACCGGAGAACCCGGAGAAAACCCTCGTGGCAGTCCTCGTGGCATAGGAGAGACAACCAACACATCAAACAAACTCAACTCACGTAGAATCCAATTTGATACGCAAGTTTATATTATCACCTGSACAAAACTGCATGTGAGGGCATAACGTCTAGTCCGCATTTATTAGTTCGCTCGCCCTTAAACGTTTTCCCACCCAGTAGGCTAGCGTTGTCATATCCGACAATGTCGATACAGGTCGATATAAGCGAAGAAAAGCTCAAATCACAAAGTTTTGCCCTGCTCGATTGTCAGGGAATCGTCTGATCTTGAGAGCAAGCAACGCAACTATTGTATCTTTTTTCGATAATAATACTTGAACGCCGTTTTTT